CAAACGATAATAGCGCGACAAAGTCGGGTCAACTCGCTGGTTCCTTTTCCTAGCCAGCCTGTATACAACGCTGTACCCCGGTTAATATACAATAACGGGAGTTTTAAACCATCCCACCGAAGGTTCAGAACATTTCGTTCTAAATAAATATTCTTGCTACGAACCCCTTGACTGAGTTCCACCCCGGTTAGGAAGACTCGTTACACGATTTTAGGTAAAAAGTACATATAGAAAATATGTATTGATAAGTTTGTATACGTTTTTCATTAAAAAAAAGGCATTTGTTATTCAACAGGCATAAAAATTGCTTACGTGTCGTTATTAAAGAAAGTTATTATAGAACAACAAGTTAATTGCTTTAGGCTGCGAACAAGACACGCATACAACATGGACTTATATGACACTGAACGTATTTGTTACGCCATTGGAGGAAGAACGGGCCTAGGGGTCTACTCTAAAAAGAAAAAGACATTTGATCGGAAATTCAAATTTTTAACAAAGCCTACATAAGGTTACGATCGGCGCAGTTACATTTTAACCAGACTTTTTTATTTGCTGTTAAAGAATAATCAATATGTCGCAGCTTTGCAATATAATTGAATGAGGAACAATTTGCATTGGGCAAAGCTACGTTTTAGTCTTATAAAGTCTTTACTAAAGCGATTATAGCTACGATCCCCAATCGATTAATATATTAATTTCTACAATTATTAATAGTCGGTAAATCGAAAGCAGTTTGTAATTATCGAACGCTTAAGGAATGTGTTGGGCAATAAGCAGGTAGAAAACGTTACATGTTCCCGAATAATTTAGGAAGGGTTTGAAAGAAATAGAAATAATCCTTTTTTCAGACCAATTCCTAAAAATATTTATCGTAAATTCGGGGTAGGGTGTTGAAAATATGAGTAATAAAAAGCTAAAGAAAAGCACCCTGTTATTGTAATCGAAATTGTGAAGACCAGTGGTAACCATACAAGCCATGCATGTAAGTGAAATTGAAATAAATGACGTCTAAAGCATTACATATTCGCGTGCGTCCATGTAATGCTTTCCTATAAGCCTTTGCAAAACAAAAGAACAATTATTGCCTATGTTATGGAGTTGAGGAAAAAATAGTAAACAAATGTAATGGAAAGAATACTTATTTCGAATTTAATACTGGAAAACAATACTTATTTCGAACTTAATACTGGAAAAAACCTATTCCCTTTCGCTCCTTCTGCTTGCACAGTTATGCATGCGCACAAGGAAGCAAAAAAAAAACACAACAATGCAACAAATAAATGATCACAGCTCTTCTCGAAGAGTACATTTATCATCCTAGTTTGTATAAAATACTATCAACTTATTAGCAATATTGTCTTCTGCGGCCAATAATTGATAAGACCTATTCAGTGAAGAACTATTAATTTAGGAAAGGTGTAGACAAAAATTGAG